AAGCAGATGCAAGTTGATTAATGATAATGATAATTATATATTAAATATGTTAACTAAAATTTGAAAAGGATTGATGGGATGCTGAGGCATATCGATGTTGTGATTGCAGTGTGATGTTGGGAGTAGTAGCACTCACACTGCATTGAGCTTGGAACAAGGGTGATGCCGGAAAGTAGTAAAAGGATTGTTGTGTTTTCAAATTCGGGGCCCGAACACTCACACTGGATGTGTGGAAGTAGGCAGTGTAGGGGATGGCAGGAGTATTGGAAATTTGAAGCACCGTCCCTTAGGCAAGGTTTTGCTGCAATCGAGCCCCTGCAATAAGGAGGACAGTCATAGGGGGCGTTGAGACACACACATAGAAAGCACACGAAGAAGCACATGCATGGGGACAGCGAGCCAGGTTCCACTCATCTCTCCCTTCCCTGCATGCCATTCTAGCAAGGCGGATGCTTTTATGCCTGTCCCTCTGATTCCCCTTGCGATTGACACATTTACCATTGGAGCATTAGAGAACGCCAACCAACGGGTCCTTTACTAATCGCTATGCGCCCTCTTCCGTTTTACCCATGACATACACGTGCAGAACCGTCCCAAGTCTCTGAATCACTCTTCCAAACATGTTCTACTGCAAGATGTCTGATTAAAAGGGGCCCTTGAGAAAATTCACAAGGTACCGTGTAGCTGTTACAGGTCCTACCACACAGCAAGTACCAGATTGACTCAAATCCACCCTTTCAGCCTCTCCTTACCGTGTTGTGCTGTGTTAACTGCATCGGAGCCCACAAGAGGATACACATCGGAGCACAACCAGTTGTCCCCTCTCACTGTGATGTTGGTGGAGGTGATTTCAGCTGGAGGAGACAGGAGGGAGGGAAGGAGGCAGAGTGAAGCATTTTGGATGGCATTATTATACTGATAAGAAGCTTCAGATAATACCATGGCGAAGAATCATAGGAAAGAGCATCTTGGAGAAGATAAGGACCAAGAATTCCTGGCATATCAAGTATAGTTCACGTGGCTTTGCCTCTTTAGGTGGCACAAATGTCTATAGTTGAGGGTGACCTGCAACAGGAAACTTGTTGCATTAATATTTATAAAACAAAGAGGAGATCTAGAGATGTTGGAGGAGGAACAAGAGAGTAGAGGAAGGTGGGGGTGCATCAGCACCTGGGGGTTGCAGCGTTGCAGGCGGTTGCAGCGTTACGGACGACCCCACTCGCCGAGGCCACACCGACGACACTCGCTGCACTACAGGCGAAACACCCCAATGCTGCACTACCCACCTCGCCCTACGTTACTGGCTACACCCTCTCGGCGCTGAGAGTGACCCCCGACGACCTTCGCGAAATACTTAAGCGATGCCCGAACGGAGTGGGAGCAGGACCTTCAGGCACCTGTTTCGAACACCTCAAGGACCCGGCACTAGCGAGTGAAGAGGTGCTCATACTCCTCGCTAAAACAGTCAGCCACCTCCTTAGCACATTCCAGACCCAGGCCGTCCGCGAGGTGCTCCTTCCCTCGAGGCTCATTGCCCTGGAAAAGCCGGGAGGCGGCGTTAGACCTATCGCGATAGGAGAAGCAATACTTCGCATCGTGGCGAAAGCAGCACTGAAAGAATTATCGCAGAATATTCGGGAGTTTTTCCTCCCCGTACAGTTTGGCGTGTCTGTCACTGGCGGCACAGAGTGCATCATTCATGCAGTCCGCTCGCTGCTTAAAGAGGACGAGACCCGCGTCGCGCTACAGCTAGACATCGAGAACGCCTTCAATAGCGTGGAACGACCGGCGTTCTTCCAGGCGCTCTCGCAGTCGAACCTGTCATCACTCCTGCCCCTAGTACGCACGCTGTATGAGGGACCGTCCCGGCTTCTAGTGGACCACAGGCTAGGCGTGGACCAGATACTAAGCAGCCGAGGATTTCGCCAGGGAGACCCACTAGGTCCACTCCTCTTCGCCGCGGCGATTCAAACAACACTTTTGAGTATGGCAACACTCCTCCCCGAGGTGGCGATCGTCGCCTACGCTGACGACATCACCATCGTGGGACCCAGAGACGCGACATTTGAGGCTTTCATCAACATCACAACGGAGCTAACATCACTCGGGCTCCGCTGCAACATTGCCAAGTCCACAGGGTGGGGACGGAGCACGGAGGAGGGAAGCGAGATCCCACCACCACAGGGCCTGCCAATAAACACCACTGGGATAGGAGTTCTGGGGAGCCCGCTCGGCACGCCTGCCTTCTGCACCGACCAGGCACAGACACGACTCAGAGAGGCGTCCGCCCCGCTACCCCTGATAGCTCAACTCCACCCCCAGCACGCCATGCTCATCCTCTCGCGGAGCATTTCACGCAGAATATCCTACATGCTGCGTACAACACCAGCGGCGGTGCTGGAGAGAGAGGAGTGGAGGTCGTGGAGCGAATCTCTGCTAGGAGCAGCACTAGCAGCAGCGAAACTACGAGTACCGACAAGTGAGCTTGAACAGAGTCTGCTTTGGCGGCAGGGCACTCTACCAGTAAGGCTAGGGGGGCTAGGCATCATCGACCCTTCCTCGGAGGCTCCGGCAGCCTACATAGCGTCAGTCACAGCAGCTCAGCAACTACTGCGGCAGATGAACCTGCCGGAGGCATACCTACTGCGCAGGGCGATAACGCTACTTGACCACGCTTGGAGCCCCGCGATACCGGAGGTCAATCAGCTAGCCCCACTGGAAGCAGCGCTGCCAGCACCCGCGAGGACTGCATTACAGGCGTTTAGGGAGAAGCCGACAGGACAGGGTAACCTTCAGCTAGTGCTGTCCTGCCACATCAATGAGAGAAGGGCGGCGGAGCTGCTGTCAGACACAATCACAGACCGCCCGGGCACACACCGCGGGCATGCAATATGCCTCATCAGTTTGCAAGGGGTGGGGGCGGGAGATTGGCTACATGCAGTGCCTTCAAGAGCTGACCTTACATTTGCCCCTGGTCAGTTCTCCTTGGCACTGGGCTTCCGCATGGGCATGTCCCTTCTGGTCACCGTGAAGTGCCCCTGCAAGCGCGAGTATTCAGACATCACCGACACAAGCCTACCGAACCATCTCCTTAGGTGTGGGTACGGGGGAGATGTGGTTAGAACACACAACTCACTGGTGTACGCGGCCCTCTGGATGGCAAGGGAAGCAGACTTCACGTGCTTCCATGTGACGGCAGCCTTCTCTCCACCGATCGTTAGGAAGAGAGGGGACCTAGCCGTGAGAGACAAAGAGTCAAATGAGACGTGGGTGACCGATGTGACAGTGACCGACCCCGTGCTCCAGCAACGCGATACAAGGGCACGGAAACCGCCGGGATGGGCAGCTGAGGAAGCTTCTGCAAGGAAACACAGGCTCTATGAGGGACGACCGGACTATGTAGGCTTCTTTGGGCTGGCAGTTGAGACGTACGGGGCTCTGGCAACTGACACACAGCAGTTCCTACGCCTCCTGGCCACCTCAGCAGCCAAGAAAAAGTATCGCCAGGGGAAGCTGACGACGACTACTGCACGGCTCACTGCTCACTACCGGCAGCGCTGGTCTGTGATGCTGCAGCGGTCCCAAGCGACGTCCTACCTGAACAAGTCCAACCTCTCAGATGAGGCGGCGTTCCCCCAGGCCACCAGGGACCCTTGGGAACCTAGCCTTGGGGACCTATGGCAAGTGCTGGAGGACGATTTGGAGGTGGTAATGGCACAGTAGGTAGGACAAAGGGGGTGATGGGGAAACAGAAGGTGGTGCCAGGGGGTTGATGGGTGTAAGTTGGCGGATAAGGGAGGAGTGAAATAGGAAGGAGGGCCACGAGCAGAGCAGGATTATATGGAGCTGCCAGGGTCCTGGGGTGTGTGTGTGTTTTCGGTTCTACCTGAACAGAGGGTGTGGTGGTGAGGTGAGGACCAGGCTGCAGGAACTAGGTGTGCCTTGTTCCAATGCTTTGCTATGCCTTGCACTGCTCTGCCTTGTTAGCTCGGCTAGTTTAGCTACCAGGTTGCTCCCATATCCAGACAGTCTTGCAACCATCACCCGCCATGCCTGTACCTTGTGCACCCTATTAATACATGACTGCTTGAGAGGGGAGACAGATGGCACAAACACTTATATAGGCCGTGGCAAGCAACATTTGTCTTGCATGCAGTGATCCAGGCAAAATACATATTACTTGAAACTTGAACGTGTCTCACCATAAGTGCAGGTGTTTCCATAGCCGTTAGCAGCCTCAATAAAGGGCTGCTTGGTTACAGCAAGAAGCGTGTAGTTGCACGTGTTGCTTTTTGTCTTTTTGATGGGCGTGCAGGTGAAGCGACCGCACGGGTTCATGCTGGGCTGCAGATCTCCATCGTCCTTGTAGCTCGTCAAGCCACACGGGTCCCCCGCAACTAGAAGAAACAAAAGCGAGCCAAAAAAGTTGGATGGCATATAGTCATGGGAAGAACGTGATGCCAGGCAGCACGTTGATGCCACACACGCCATCCCCTCCCTGAATGTCCATGCGCATATGGCCCTTGTCTCCCCATGCCTCGCCCCACGAGTTGCGGATGATCCAAAATGGCGGTGCAATGCGGTTCTCGCTCCCATCAATCCTCCGAATTAGGTATCCAACAACGAGCACAACGTGGTTAAGATTGCTGGTATAGCAGCCAGGATCCTGGTACTTGAAGGTCTGGAGACATAAGGGCATAATGTAAAAGCATGCAGGGCATGTGTATCTCGTACAGGTGTCACAAATGCAAGTAACAACAGAGCAAACATGTGTACCACAACGTAAAAAAAAAAAAAACCAGTATTTTGATTTATAACATGTGTGTGATCTACATGCACTTGCATGGATTCCCATGATTCTTGAAAAAACAAAAGAGATGATATGCACAATATTCGATTGACACCCTTCCTAACACTATCCATCACATATGGAGCCTCGAAGTCTGCAAAAACTATCACTTGAGCAATTTGTTCATATTGATTGTAAGCCCCAGCACACACTAGGCCTTGCCCAGCACATTGTAAGTGAATGAGAACAAACAGACAGCACTCACCCCATCGTATGTGCCGAAGGAGGCAACAGAGGCTTCGATGTGAACCACCATTGGCTGCCGCTGCACTGCCATCATCAGCCCCGCATACCCCTTGAAGGCAGCGCGCTCAAATCCCTGGACAGGGAACTTCATTTTCTGAAAGTCAGAGTATGTGGAGTGTGGAAAGAGAAGGGGATGGCGTCATATTAAAAAGGGCATAATGAAGGGGCATCATAAGAGGATAAAGAAAGGAAGCACATTGTCTTTCTTTTTTTCTTTCTATTATCAAGACGGCCACACAAATTGTATGGAACTCAACACGTACTAACTAGGACTCGAACACTAACATACTGTGGTGGCATTGCTGACATGACGTCCAGTTGAAATACAGGTAGATTTGATGCACAAATCAAACCTCACAAGAAGCCGACCGAGGGGTTTGATGTCTACAAAGTAGTGGCAGATACATGCATTGGTTGATCATCTTAGGTAAAGGGACACAATTCCCGACCTGAGATTTCTTATGTTTCCTTCGTTCTTGCACCAACACATTTGATGCTGCTCACAATGGCCTTACCCTCTTGTCATATTACCAAATTAATCAGCCACAGCAACAAAGGTATCCGAGATTGCTCCTGAACGGACTTCCCCCTTCCACACTTTCACAGACCTCCACAAACTTCTCATGGCACATAGCCAAGTGTTTCTGACTGATCTTCTTTGAAATTTGAAGTGGTTCTCAACTTGTTGGTCACAGGGACTGGACCTAACGGTTTCTTGTACACAGGTATGGTGTACCAAACCGGAACCTTTAATTTCCCAGCAGATTTGAGTCAAACTGGTCGGGTCAGACTCGAAGCGGTTCCAGCCGGTACGGGTCGAACTGGTTGAGTTTGACACGGTTTCCCACACATCCGCACACACGGTTTCCCACACATACCCACACACGGCTTCCCACACATCCATTCCAGTCTTCCCTCATAGCCTAAGACATACCGGATTGCCCTCCAGGGTTATGGCCCCTTTGGGCAGAGCCAGCAGCTTCTCGAAGGCATCAGTCAGGGAGCCTCCCAAAGTGCACTTGGCTGCCTGGGTGGTAAGACCCATGGATGTGAAGAGCGAATCCACTGACAGCTTCAGTGCCTCTAGATTTGACGCGATGCCGTATGCAGCTTCTATGCTCGCCACCACTGCGAGCGCCCAGCACGCATCTGAAGGGAAGGGCAAGGAAGGGAACGCATATGGCAAGCTACTTGGAATAAAACATCGAGGGAGATTGTGCGGATGGAGGAAATCTTCGTATCATCACATAGAGGAGAAAGTATGCTGGTGAACGGGACAGAATAGGAGACAGACATCAGGACGAAAAAAGTAGGCCAAAGTGAAAAAAACAAAACACCTGAAGCTGCATTAAACGAACCTCATAGACAAAACGCCATGGTGAGCCTCAGCCCTGACCCCCATGAGAGAGAGAGAGAGAGAGAGAGAGAGAGAGAGAGAGAGAGAGAGAGAGAGAGAGAGAGAGAGCAGTTGGTGGGAAGTAGCATAGTGAAGGGTTGGAGAGAAGAGACAAATGTATGGACGTGTTGAGCAGGTTTGTGCAAGAACAAAAGATAGATCTCGGAACAGCAGGTGGCTGCATTCTGTATCAGAGAATATAAAAAATCATTCAAGGTAGAAATTGTGGGCAACAATGCTCCACGACGTTTGCTGTTGTGTCGACATGCAAGGACTTGCCTGGAATGATGTTGACTGCTGCCCGTGAAGGAGGGGCACCTGTAGCAATTCAAGCACGCAAGGAGGGAATGAGACAAGGATGAAAAAGGGAAGATGTCAGAAGGTTTTGGATGATGGGTTGGCAAAGGCCAGCGTAGTATCCCTAGCGGGTTAGGCCAACACGTATAAGCAGCCTAGGGGGTTACCTCAAAGTAACGCAGTCAAGCTATTGGAACCTGCTGAGTGCTTGCCTGTATGCAAGGCAAAGATGAAGGCAGTGCACAATGAACCGTTTCACCGTGGCCTGGTGGATGCACCATGAAATGCCCCATCACTTCACTGTGGTGGATGCACAGAGTCTTAGGTATCTGGTTGGCATGAAATATATATTGGGATCTCTCGGAACCACCAGAGCATCTGCCAGTTGTCAGTTTCGCACCTGTGCGCAGGGCAGAAAGGAGGACGGCACCAACCTGTGCGCAGGTAAGAGCTGAGGATGGCTTGAGTCATGAACGGCTTCACTGTGGTGGACGCCACGAAGCCAAAGTAGAACGCCCACGGCTTCCGCGGTCTTCCCTCTGGTGGTCCCGGCTGCAGCACCGCACACAGTGACAGCCGGGACTCTAGCAGTGGCTTCGCTGGCTTCACTGCTGTCGTTGCCAGGAACACCTGGATGGTGCCAGGGTCTCCAGGCATGTAGTCAACCCATGCCGTGTATGGCTTCTTGTTGGCGAGCGGGAACGGGGATATCACAGCGGCGATTGATGTGTCCTGGCCATTGATATTCAGTCCCACGTGCGGGTCTTTCATGTTGCCATGTGGCTTGTTTTGAAGCACATCAAACTCTATCGCCATGCTTTGCTCGTCCATCCCACCTTACCCCACTCCAACATTGGTCCCCACTGTGTTGCTTGACGAGACCACAAAGGCAAAGCCGTTGGAAGCTGCCTTGGCTTTGGGTGGGAGGGCGAAGGTGAAGTTGACACTAAAGGCCAGCTCGAACCCACAGCCTGGGTACTCCCGTCCATTTTCGTACATGAAAAGGGGAACATTCGTCTTGGTGAACATTCCAATAGCCTCCGGTTTCAAACCGGTAGTGAGTACTGTTGACATTGGGAGGATCTTCATGTCAACTGGAGTGACAGGGTTCGTTTCTGGAGATACGTAGTGAGGGATGGGAAAGAGCAGCCAAGGGGTGGAAATAAAAGTGAGTAGAAAAGGAGTGTGAGAGATTGAAGGCAGGAAATCCTGAGCGACGGTATGCTGTATCTATATCAGAGCAGGGATAATGGGTTTTCATGCACGTGCACGTACATCAGTACCCCGTGACTTATATCCACCATAACATAGCCCCATTTACCATCAACAAGATAGTAGATCCCTCGAAACAGGTTGAACCCTGCATCGCACAAGCAGGTAGGCACCGAGTTAGGCCCATCGAGATAGAAGACCCCATGGCCGCTACACGTTGCAGCAGTGGATTCAGTTGATGTGCCACAAAACGCCCGGCATGCTGACTCGGAGCGTTGCGCTGGCTCATGTTCGTCTTCAGCCAGTTTGAAGCAGTTGACATCCAGTGAGTCTATGAGAGGAGGCAGAGTGCCTGAGAGGTAGTTGTATGAAAGCACAGCCACCACGCCAGCTGGCTTCACATGGGCGCCTGTGAAATAGTTGTGGGAGACGTCGCTGTGGGGGTGGAGCAATGGTGGGAGGACAGAGCAAAAAGACAGGGGTAGAGTGCAAGCTAGGCATTTCAGTGGTCCGGTACGCAATGATATGAAAATGAGTTTGATACCAAGTGTGGTATCAAGTGAGTACAGTGTGGTACCAAGTGTTGATAGAAACGTTCATGTAAGTTTACTATGCCACTGGGAGGACAGGGGATCATTCAAGGGCTTAAGATTGAAAGGGGGAGGGGGGGGGGGACGAGGGAAAGAGGGGGGGGGGGGGAGTGCTATCAAACCACACAAAGTGCGGGCGGGTGCATACATCATGCAACTAAGTGTGTCTTACAAAGTATAGAGGTTTGTGAGCTAGGTGACTGCGCCTGGTATGCTTCCAAGTAGCTGGTTATTCGCAAAAGACCTGAGATCCACAACGCTGAAGGCATGGTGCAGGCGTGGTGCAGGCATGGTGCAGGCATGGTTAAGGGGACATGGTGACAGCATAGCATTTGACAGGCGCATGTCCATGCACATGTGAGGAGAGGAGAGGAGAACAGTTGAGAGGAGAGGAGACGAGAAGAGAAGAGAGGGGAGGTTGTGACTAAGCACTAGACGAGAACAGACCAAACTTGTGAGTAGTTCATAGGTTCCTCCTGTTGCCGCATGCCTATGGTGGCAAAAAACCTGGTGAAAAACATGAGTGAACGGTGGTACAGTGTAAATATCTGGTGTTCTCAGCATAACAAGAGCTAAGAACGTTACCACTGTTGTGAGAAACCAAAACATGATATTGTATGCATATGGCTGAGCTCAGATAATCAACCCAGGAATGCAAGTTCACTCACAAATGCATAAGATAGACGAGGCTGCCAATTGCGGACGGAATCTTTCCAGTGAGCTCATTACTGCCAAGCCACCTGCACAGATACAATAACAACCGTAAACACAAACAATATGTCAATAACATACACACAAACAAGTCAACGTGCAATTTCAGGATGCTCATGGTGACGACACTGATTTGTGTGGCCCAGTCACTGCTGCTTGGTTGCACGAATAGCTAATTCTGCAGTACCATTCTATCATCCAGGCGTGTTACCAAAACATGCATCACAAGAATGAAGTAGCGGAATTCCACACATTTTAATGCAGTGCATTTCGCTTTTGAAATCACTGACTACTATCCATGGCCTCCCCACGTAATATGATGTTTATTCACACATGAGGAACAGCTCTTACTCTCCAGGGATTCGACTTACAGCTCCTGGATGTTTGTCAGTGCAGAGACACCTCCTGGAATAGACCCAGTCAGGTCGTTCTGCCTTAAATCCCTGCCACACAGAGAGAAGAAATGTTTTATGAAGGAAAAAAGAAGTATGGCTCAAAGAGAGAGCAGAGCGATGGGATTTTTTGCAAAACAAACTACGCAGAAACTGCAACATAATGGGATACAATCTGTCCAACCTGATAGGATAGCGCGTAGACGAGGGTTGGCAAGGGAAGATGCGTGCAAGTGAAGCACAAGGAGAATGAATCACAAAAAAAAATGACGTGGAAGAAATGGTGAGGAAAGGTTGGCTAGGCATGTGTGATAAGGTGAGAGAAGAACAAAATCAAGGCAGATAGTTTGTGTAGAGTGGGCTTACAGGTAGGTGAGATTGGTCAGGGAAAACAATTCCATAGGGATGGATCCAGACAGCATGTTAAAGGCCAAGTTCCTATCAGCAAGAGGAGCACATGGAGGGGTGGATAAGCATGAACTGCATGAGAAAATAATAGGTGTGCTTGTATACTGTAGAAATTCTGGCATTACCCGAACACTTGTGCAGCGTAGAGTCTAGTTACCACACGGTTTAGAGAGATATGGGGATAAACTGGAACAGACGAAAAGGAAATCTGGGTTCAGGGAAATTTGTGGCACCAGGAACCCTAGTGATGGTGGCACCAGCTGCTGCGCACAAAGCCACAGAAGCAGCAGTCACAGAAGCATCACCAGCAGAAGTAGAATCAGAAAGAGCAGCAGCAATAGCTTCTAGAGTGTATGGAAAGGAGTGCAGCGGGCATGGGGGATGGAACGGTGGCATTCTGGCACTCACAGCGTGATAAGACGTGTCAAGCTGTTAAGGACTGGAGGGATGGGCCCCAAGAACTGATTGCGGGACAGGTCCCTGAAGATTCATGAGGGAAATGGGGGATGGATGGATGGATGAAATTATGAACAAACGGTGAGTTGACCCATAAACAAGCCGATTGGGTGACGTTTTATAGGGTTGATGAGTCTACTTGATGGTGATGATGATGCTGGATTGATCATCTGTGATGGATTATACGCTTTGGAGCTTAAGCGTTTAGCGTTTGTATGCTAGCGTGTTCACGCTAAACGCGGAACGCTAGCAAAAAGGCTATACGCAGCCCAGATTTTTTTCGGGGCTGCCCGCCTACCCACATTTTTTCGCATAGCTCAAAAGCAGCGGAATTGCACGACGAGCAATTCTGTGAACTCAGATTGCACGTCAAGTGTCTGGCGTGGCTGGAAATTGGATTCGTGACCTGGAGTCGCGTTTATCACCTTCACATTTTGCACGTTCAGAATTGCATGGTCAAGTATGTCGAGTCGCGCAAGCACGTTGCCACAATTCAATCGCTCTGCTTCACCGCATTCAAACACATCATCATGCTATTAAGCCACTCGTCAAAATGTCAATCTCATTTGGTTTAGGCCTCCTGCTAGCTAATTAGCATAGCACGCTCCTACGACTATGTCCTCCTCTCCATCTCCCACGTCGCCTTCCGTCCAGACTGTGGAGAGTGCGAGGGATCCTCCGGCTGCGTCACGGGAATACCTTCTTGATGTAGAACACCCAGTGTTTAAGCACTTCAGGCTCATCAAGCGGGAGGAGGGCAAGGCACAGCAGTACGAGTGCAAATACTGCCCCCTTGTCTTCTCTGGTGCCGCCATCCGTTGCGCTCAACACCTGACGTCATGGAAGACCATGAAGCGCCGGGAGGTGACACTTTGCAAGAATGCCCCGGCTGATGTTCGCCTCGCGATGAAGTCCAAGTACGAGAAGCAGGCCGCAGTTGCAGAGGAGAGGCGGAGATCGACTGAGGCTGCGATTGCCTCGGGGACACCAGGTGGGAAGCGGTCCCCCATAACCAACTATCTCGCGGGCAACGCTGCATCGACAAGACGCGAAGCACATCGGTCGCTTGCGCTGATGTTTGGGGGATGTCATATCCCGGAGCAGATCGTCGACCATCCTCTCTTCGTCAACGCAATCAGAGACGTCACCCGCGCCGGCGAAAACTATGTTCCACCAGGCCGGAAGTACATCGCCGGTAGCGGTCTTCAAGCATGCCGCAGTGGCATCGAAAGCGGGTTGGTGGGCATCAAAGCAAGCTGGAAAAAGGTTGGAGTAACTGTCGCGTCCGACATGATGACGGACAAAAACGGGAGGCTGCAGGCAAATGTCTTCCTCGTTAACGACGCGGGCGCCGTGTTGCATGTGTGCGTGGACTGCAACATGGAGAAGAAGATAGGGGGATACATTGCGGGGTTACTAAAGCCCGTGGTGGAGGAGGTGGGGGCGGAGAACATCGTCGCTTTTTGTACGGACGGCGGCTCCAACTACCCGGTTGCGTGCCAGATCTTGGTTGCAGAATGGCCCCACATTCAGATTGTCCCTTGTGCGACCCACGTCCTGGATCTCCTCATGGAGGATGTGGGGAAGCTTGGGTGGGCGAAAGGGGTGGTGGATCGGGCTGGGGAAATGAGTTCCTTCGTCCGCAACCACCATTGGACGCGGGGGTACTTGCGAACGCCGAAGCTGGTGGAGGGGACCGTGATGCAAGCGTTGAAGCCAGCGGGGACACGCTTCGAGACACAGTATATAACTGTTTCCCGCCTGTGTGCCCTTCGTAATTCCCTTACCCAGATGGTGCTCTCCGACCTGTGGAAAGATTGGGCGGTGGGGGATCGAAAGAAAGCAGCGGAGGGTTTGCTGCGCAGGTACTCGATGCGGCTTGGTGGAAGACCGCCAAGTTCTTCACGAAGCTCATAAAGCTCCCCTTCATCGCGATGCGGCAGACGGATGGGAGCGCAAAGGGGATGATGGGGCGAATGTACGACATAATGCTCCAACTTACCGAGGATGTGGAGGCCCTTGTCGACGCGGATGAGGAGCAGTTGTCCAGCACCGACAAGCAGCAGATCCGCCACATCCTGAAAAACAGGTGGGACGGGAGTCTTGCATGTGCCATGCACGTGGCGGGACGTATCCTCAACCCTGCCAACCAAGAGGAGGACATCTTCGGCGGGGATGCGGAATGCACAAGGGTGTTCAAGGCTTTCCTCTCCAAACATATGGAGTTCCTCACCGTGCGGGAGAAGGAGGGGGTGATGAGTGCGACTATTTTCTCGCATTGGGGGACCAGCTGAGGTATTTCCTTGACCTCAAAGGGAGTTTCGGGATGCCTGAAGCCATTTCACAGAGGGAGAAGGTAAAGGCGGGCACTTACAGCATGGTTAAGTGGTGGCAGTGGAACGGGACGGATGCGCCGCAGCTGTCGTCGCTCGCCGTAAAGGTTCTCTCGCAGCCCGTCTCGGCATCTCCGTGTGAGCGTGGATGGTCGAAGTGGGAATCAGTCCACACTGCGCGACGGAACCGCCTCGGATCCGCTAAATGCCCGGATTTAGTGTACGTCACGCACAACTGGAACGTTGTGCGCGGATGGCACACGCGACATGAGGTGATGCCATCAGTTGTGCGCGGGAATGAGGTGGAGCCGCCCATCCCCGCTGGCTACAACATCGCGGGTGATATGGAGGAGGAGGAGGAAGGTGAGGACGAGGTCTTGGCGGATGAGTATGAGTAGTAGAAAGGGAACCCAGGTCAAGAAGGGGGTACATGTTGGTGATAGGTAGAGTAGACTAGGTAGTAGCGAGGCACATTGATGTTCTATGTATGGCCGTGCGAAAATTTTTGTGTGTGGGAAATTTTTCTGCAGAAACACATCCCACCAGAACCCCCCCTTACTTCACTCACGGAAGGTTTTTTTCCCTGCCCGGGAAAGTTTTTTAGCTGCCCAGAAAAGCGTATCCTGGATCAGACCCCACTCGCGTTTAGCGTATATACACTAGCGTATATACGACACGCATATATATGCTAAACGCGTATAATACATCATAGTTGATAATTGGATCCCACAAATGCTCATTTGAATTGCTCCTATGCTTGTTCTGCATCTATAATCCATCAAGGCACATGCTAGTTTCAAGTGAGAAAGCCATGCTCATTTGACTTACAGCGCTTGCCACATGAGCATGCGCTGTATGGCAGATGATATGAGCATGAAAGTGGCATCTTTCAACTCTAAACCCGAAAGCCACTCACCTCTCACCTGTTTGGTCAACCAAGTCATTCACTCATCTCCCCACACACTCTCGTCTCCATCCCCCACCCCACAGAATAGTTCTTTGCTAAGAAACTCACTCAACGCAGGCATGGCATGCTAGGGCACTATGTTCAGCACTTACAGGTAAGTCATTTTCATTGAGCCAAAGGCAGCAGGGATAGAGCTAGTGAGAATGTTATTCTGGAGATTCCTGTTGAGATATTCAGGGTAGAAACGCAAGCAGAGGATGCATAAAGCATGTGAAGGACACAAAACAAGAAAGTCCGAGAATGCTGAGATTTGGTGTCGGAAGAACTTGATATCTTTTCAAATATGTGACAATGATACAATCGTCTATTTGACCCTTACATATGTGTGTTATTTTTCTCATCCTCGATTCGCATGCGTTTCCTAGATCCTTTGTACTGTCCTAAGCTTGAATACAAGGGTATGCAAAAAAATCAATCAATATTGGATGCATTCTTATTTGAACAAATCAATCAATAAACTTACAGGCTTTGCAGTTGAGTTATCTCAAGGGGGATGCTGTTTGAGAGCTGGTTGAACGAGAGGTCACTGGGATGGATAAACATGTAAGATAAAAATAGCTCAGATAAAATGACATTGCTAAGCACATTAGGTGGACCTCAGAGTGAATGAGGGAATTATTAAGAGACAGTAGACATTAGCAGCAGTAGCATCAGCAGGAGAACAAGCAAGATCAGCAGCAGCACCATCAGCTAGAGTGCATGGTAGTGAGTGCAGCGGGCATGGGGAATGGAACGGTGACATTCCGGCACTCACAGCGTGTCAAGACTTGTCAAGCTGTTAAGAAATGGAGGAATGGGTCCTGAGATCTGGTTGTGGGACAGGCCCCTGAAGAGTCGGGAGGGAAATGGGGGATGGATGGATGAAATGATGAACGATTGGTGGGCTGAACATTAACAAGCCGATTGGGTGACGTTGGACAGTTGGGTTGATGAGTCTACTTGATGGTGATGATGTTGATGTGCATTGATTGTTAACTCTGTGTAGGTGATCGGTATACTGACCAGTGACATGGTGAAAACAAAAGTGGCTGCAAGGAGGCTTTGGTTATAGGAGAAACAAAGAAGCAAACATGAGCATTCCGATTCATAAATCCACATTTACAATATCTAGATGTATCCTATCAAACCCCATTAACCCCTCTATCTCGGAGACAATTTTAGTTGTTGGATCTTACCTCAAGGCGATTTGCAAAGCCTATGCTACCACAAGATGTTCTTTCCCTGCACCGGTATGTTTTAAGGAAATTGGATTCTAAGAATGCAGACCTGCTGTGCGCATATGCTAATTTCAAGTGAGAACACCAACCAATAGGACTTACAGCGCTTCCAGGTTTGCAAGATTGGAGATATCCAAGGGGATTGAACCATTGAGCTGGTTGTTGCTGAGAGACCTGTGTTGATGGAAAAGCATTTGATAGGACCATGTCAATGGCAAAAAATGAGAGGGCATAGAGCGGAAAACAAGTGTGGCAAGATGCTTTATTTCCCGATAGGTTCGAGCCTGTAGACGTAGCCGACTCGAGACCGTCTGTTGTCAGAGTCTCCAGCGTGATCGGCGTCAACATAACCGATTAGCTTAGGTGTTGCGTGTGAGAATGACAGACGAAAGAATGAATGAACTAGAAATGAGATGGGTACATATAGGAAACACATAAGTGTTGTACCCTCTAAGAGCTACCCCACTACAGCCTAAATAGACCATAGTAGATAGAAGTTTGACATACCCCCATAGGCAAAGTGGGGGAGAATAAGAGGTCACAAGACCAGTCAAGAAAAGCAAAGCAAGCTCAGGGTGGATCACAAAGTCACCACACAGTCTGAGCACAAGCAAAGGGCCATAAGGCCAGTTCACATGCAGATTTATATAAAGGAAAGCAAACAGTACAGTGAACACAACCTAGCAAGTGTAAGCATGCAGGTATAAGTATATAGAGTACAGTACAAGCAGAGTCAAGAAGTCAACAAGTGAGGCACAGTAGGGACAAGGCCTAACACAGTACAGAAACGCTGATGATCACAAGGCTGAAGTGCCTTGGTGAAAACATCAGCAGTGTTGGCCTGAGAGGCCACGTAAGCAAGACGAAGCTGGCCACGCTGCTGCAACTCTCGAGCAAGGAAGTAGCGCAGAGCAATGTGCTTCGTTCTGTGCTCCAGTCTGTGCTCCTGACACAAGGCCAGCATGGCCTTGTTGTCGACGTACAGAACTGGAGGAGAACGAGGCGCCTCTCCCAAGTCGGTCAGCAGGTAGGTGAGCCAGCGAAGCTCCTGTGCAGCCATGGCCCCAGCGTAGATCTCAGCCTCACAACTGGAGCTGAGAACAGAAGAAGAGCGGGTAGACCGCCAGGAGACAGAACCGGAGCCAAGGCTGAAGGTGTAACCCTGTGACGACCGCTGCGTAGCCAAGTCGTCAACCCAGGAGGCGTCAGCGTGACCAGTGAGGACAACTCGAGCCCGTCCTCCAAGCACCAGCCCCATGCCCGATGTACTGCACAAGTATCGCAACACCCTCTTCGCAGCATCCCAGTGCACCTTTCGGTGCCTGCCGGGAGCCACGTAGCGAGCCAGAAGGCTGAGAGGGTATGCGAGGTCAGGTCGTGTGCAAGTCATCAGGTACATGAGGCAGCCCACAAGCTCTGGATATGGGCCACTCGGCTCTACGGACTCGTCCGAAGGTGGAGCTGAGAGCGAGTGACCGGTAGGCAGAGGAGTGGACTGTGGCGAGGAGTAGGTGAAGTCGAAGCACTGAAGGACCTGCTGCACCATGTGTGACTGAGTCAAGGTAATGGTGCGCTGTGCTCTGTCCCGGGTGATCCGCAAGCCAAGATAGCTTGTGAGCTCACCCAGGTATGTGCACGTGTGTCTCTTCTGCAGCTCGGACTTAAGGTGGGCGAGTGCCTCCGTGTCAGCAGTAGCAAAGACAAGGTCGTCTACGTACACGAGAACGTAGAACGGCGGCAGAGTAGTGTCAGTGCGTAGAAACAGAGAAGGGTCAGCAGTGGAAGGAGCAAAACCAAGAACAGCAAGAGTCGTCCTGAGCGTGTCGTGCCACTCACGGGGTGCCTGGCGGAGACCGTAGACTGGCCGGCGGAGGCTCCACTGGGTACCAGCAGGAAACGACCCAGTGAAGCCAGGTGGGCGGCGCAGCCAGATCTCCTCGTGCAGGCTGCCCTGTAGGAAGGCTATGCTGAAGTCAAGCGAGTGGAGCTCGTAGTCACGCTGAGCAGCAACGTGCAGCAGTACCCGAAGAGTGGTCATCTTCGGGGTAGGGGAGAAGTTCTGAAAGAAGTCAACTCCCTGTCGCTGACTAAAGCCACGTGCAACGTAACGCGCCTTGAAGGCGGGCGGAGAACTCGGCGGCCGCTTCACCCTGAAGATCCACATGCCACTGACGATGTTCGCCCCAGGTGGGGGAACATCGTCTACGTAGGTGCCTGTGGACTTCCAGGAAGCCATCTCTGCGTCCATGGCTGCCTGCCACTGAGAGGAGTAGGGACCCTCTATCACCTCTGCGTAAGAGCGCGGGGTCGGGATGTCTAGTGCATCCGGGTCTCCCTCAGGGGCAAGCAGCATGGAATCGAAACGAGGTAGGGGGTGTACCAGGGGAGTACCTGGTGCTAGGAAGAGCGGCGGGGGGGGGGGGGAGAGGCAGTGCGGTAGGGAAAGAGACGGTAGTACGACACCGACTCGTTGAACGTGACGTCCTGAGAGGACAGAACACGACGCGAGGTGGGGTGGTAGAACTGCCACCCGGGTGCGTCAGGAGGGAAGCCAAGGAAGACACAGGGAAAGGCACGGGAGGACAGCTTGTCCACTGTAGTATCGCGGACAAAAGCTCGAGATCCCCAGACACGGAACGCGGACGCATGGCCAACCTTCCCCGTCCACCTCAGAGTAGGTGTGGTCTCCGGCAAGGAGACACGAGGCTGAAGGTTGATCTGATGCGCAGCGTACTGAACCGCGAACGGCCACAGAAAATGGGGAGCAGCCGCATGGA